CACCTCATAGATAAAATTGGGGGTTGGGGGTGAGACTTGATAAAGACAGTTAGAAGGCACAAACATCCAGTATAAGTTCTGGGGCTGTAATGTACAGCATGGTGACTATAGTTAACAATACTGTATTGTGTTTTTGAAAATTGCTAGGAAAGTAAATCAAATTTTCATCACAAGGAAACAATTTTGAAACTACGTGAGGTGATGGTGTTAGCTTAGAACTGAACATTTATGCAGCATTTTGTGTTCCCCTTAACTCAAGCACCTGTTTACACAATGTTTCTGAAGTGCTTTTATTTTAGAATCATGAAGTTATTCTATAGCAAGGCAGGATTATAGATAAAAAAAATTATATTGAAGATGTTTAGCATGTTTAACATTTAGAACCATTATTGGTTTTGTTGCCCTAACTAGTCTTTGTATGTCTAGCTTTCTATGGTTTGTAATGCTTGTGCCTAGTGATTCCCTTAAGGTACTTGACAGGGTACCCTCACTTCATCATTGAAAAAATTGACCCCCAAAAGCAAGGCAGCCTAGTGTGATAGTTAATAGCAGGGACTCTGGGGCCCAGGCTGCCTCCCACGGGCTGGGTGTGCACCTTGATCAAATTGGATTTGTTTGGATTTATACCAAGGTATTAGAAATAATTTCTGATGCTTTAAATGGTACTCTTATTCACAGCTTAAAAAAAACAATACTGTAAAACTCCCTAGCAGAATTAGATACTAAATTCCCCTCTTCTTACCACCTTCCCTGCAAGCCTGTTTGTTACACAATGAAACCTGTGCAGGCCACAGCTTCACTGTTGTCCGCATTGTCCCACGTTAACTCTTCGGAATTGTTAAATGTCCTTCACCCCCACTGTGAACGCTAACGTTGAGATGGATTTTTTTTTTATTTACAGATAATACAGCAGACACACCAAGTAGTAGAAACTGAGCAAAACAAAGAAATTGAGAAATGGAAAAGACTCGCACAGCTGAAGAATCGTGAGCTGGACAAGTTCCGCACAGAATTAGACTCGATATTAGACGTCCTCCGAGAGCTGCAGCGGCAGGGGGTGGTGGTGCCCGTTGCCTTTGCGGAGGAAGTGACTGCACCACAGTATTAGCTAGACCTTCAGACGTCACAGGACCCCCGGAAGGGCCTGAGGCGTGGTGGCTGGCATCGGGCCTCGTCAGAGAAGGCTGTTGAAAACAAGTGTTCCAGGATGTTCCCAGAAAACAACACAAAAGCAACATTTCAAAATAAATTGCTCTTAACCAATAAGAAAAAAAAAAGAAGCATTGTAGCATATTTTACTGAAAATCTTTAACCAGTCACGTTTTACATAATTTACGGACAAGTCTCTTTATGTCAGGTGATTAGAATTAGTGAATTTCATAGTAAAAGTCCTCACTTATACGCTAGATGTGAAAAGAAAAGAAAATTGCATCCACTCTGCCATTAAGTGCCAGAAAAGCAGCTCCTCTTTCTCATGGAAACGCAGGGAGGATGTGAGCACAGTGGCTCGCACAACCACATCGCCAGTCACCGAGCAGGAGAGTTTCTGCCATAACTTGAACAAGAATCATAATTTCCGTGTAGTAGATAGTGAACTATCTTGTGTCACCCAGATTTCCACTCGCACCTCTATGTGCCTCATTTTTGTCACTTGCTATAAGTGCAAAATCTATATACAAGTAATAGGGGGATTTGGTTTGTTTTATGCCATGTCTTAAGTGCCAGTCCATTTTTTGAACTCTAAGATTGTAGACAGAACATAACATTTTTACTTTTTCTATTAAAAGGTAATATATGTTCATTAGAAAAAAACTAAAAGCTTGCACAAAAGCAGCCAGATTGTTATTTTACTTTGCAATTCCCATTTCCAGAAGCAGATAGTGAGTATATGATATTGGTCAGTTAAAGCTATAGCCGCTTTGTTTTCAGCTGTTCTAGCCCAGCACTGTCCAACTGAAGTATAATTAATGTGAGCCACGTATAATTTTTATTTTATTGTAGCCACATTTAAAAATATTTTTAAATGAAATTAATTTTGGAAATTTATATAATATATTCAAAATGTGAATATAAAAGTTGAGTTTTTACATTATTTTTTCATACTAACTCTCCAAATTCTGGTATATTTTACATTTATAAACACATCTCACCTTGGACTAGCCACATTCCAAGTGCTCAATAACCACAGGTTAATAAATGCAATTCTAGAATAATAATCACAATGTGAAGCACTGTATAAAGGACACGTGAAATAGGTCTTGGTGGAATTATGGATAGCAAATGTGAAATGTGGAAATTAATGTCAATGTTCAGCATTTTTTAATGTCCTTTTCCTAAGAGGGTAGAAAAAGTATTATAACTTGCTATTTTTTTATGTGAAAGAATCTTAATTTAAGTTATAAACTGTTTTGGTTATTATTTGCTCTGTGTGTTTTTTATCTGCAAACATATTAATTTATAGTTACACCCATTCCTCACTTTGTCTTTTTGACTGACTATTCATGGGCTCTTCATTCCGGGCACAAACATGACTGATTCTGAAACACAAGAAGCACAAGCATCGAATAGATGATTACTTACAGCAAAAGTGCATCCTATTTTGATGAGGATTTTATATTCTGTTTTGGAGTAAGCTGTGCACATGTCAGATCTTCAGTTCTATTTACAGATTAAAGATCCATAAGTACTTTCAGAACTTTTAGTTACAACTAAAACCAGCAAGAACCATATTCCATCCCTTAGTCAATACACTAAAGGTCCAGGATGAGAACATGGAAGATAGACAACTTTAGACACTTTTATGAAGATTTAAGCTCCAGAAAATATCAGTCCTCTCCTACCAGTCCCACCTCCTCACAATGTCATAAGGCACCCACAGGCCTTCCCTTCAGGAACCTCATCAGAATGCATGGCTTACCGCTGAAACACACTTGTGCAGAGAGATTTCTGAGTGAGCCCACAGCATCCTACAACTACTACTACCCTGGGAAATCCGGGCTTTAGTACTAAGATCTCATTCCATATTGCAAGAATCCTAAATTTATGACTAAGTGTCTAGAAGGTGAAAGCATTCCCTTTCCCACCCATACCAGTGAGGACTCTAAGTCCAAGATCTGCACGCACATGAAATAGGAGGTAACCTTACTCAGAATAAGGTTTTTTTCCTATTTGTAGTTACAACAGCCATCTGTTTCAAAGAGCTCCTCAGTGGTGAAAAGAGTGTAGTTTGAATATCCTTCCAAGTTATGAGTAATCCTGTTGTAGTATTTGAACCATTTATGGCCTTTCTTCAGTTTCTATAGAAGTCCTTCAATAAAAAAGCACATGTAGATGATGTTTTTTTAAAAAAAGCAACAATGTATTTTTTTTAAATATATTTTTTATTGATTTTCAGAGAGGAAAGAGGAGAGAAACATCAATGATGAGAGTCATTTGATCGGCTGCCCTCCCTGCACGCCCCCTACTGGGGATCAAACCTGGGAACCCCGGGGCATATGCCCTTGACTAGAATTGAACCCAGGACCCTTCAGTCCCGCAGGCTGACGCTCTATCCACTGAGCCAAACCAGCTAGGGCCACGTGTTTCTTCTCAATACCTGTCCAGCTTGGTAAGAGTAGACCTAGTGCTAGTGAACCATTTCCTCCCTCCATAGATCCATTTTTAAACCATAGATCCATTTTTCTCTCCAGGTTTGCTGAAAGCTTCAATCGACAACCACCTAAAGAGTACAAACAGGAAGAAAGATATTCTTCCC